ATACTGTAGGTAATTACTAACCATTCACTAATGAACATCGCACAAGGGGTAGCAGTAGTTAGGAGGGGAGGTGGCATCTCATTGCACAAATAGTAAATCAAGCCCCTCTCCTTCTGTAAGGCAAATTATATCACATTCTAGCGGTCGAACAGAAAAAAAAAAAACCACAACAAAACCAAAAATAGACCATTCTAAAATTTGACATTTATATTGTATCAGCAGGAGTTGTGCCATGGAGTCCTCCTAGAGCACTGCAAAATCTTGTCAGGCTAGTCAGCTCTGCAAATCAGGACACTTTTGTTTAGTTCAGTGTTAAGCACCTGTCATGTTACTTTCTGCCTTAAAATGGGCAACTTCTATCAGCTGGCAGTACTCGTAGGTGTCATTGCTGTTCATAGCAAAAGGCTGACTTCTAGGAAGCGGTATCGCTCTCACCAAGCGAGGGAAGCAGTTTGCTGAACACACCCACCTTCATGTGGATGGAGCCACAAAACAGCAAACCAGTGGGAACCCACTGGACTTAGCTGCATCCTTTATTGCTGGTAGCCTCTGGCTCAGTGGTGCTGTCATTTTAGACAAATCATCGCACAATTTGTTTTCTACCCAGTGGCGTCCATATTCATGAGGGAAAAGAGAGTCAGGGGATGCACTGGTAGTAGCAGAATTCAGGCCCAGGTTTGGAAGACCTCCTCAGTCTGCAGTTAGGCCTAAAGTCAGCTGTGAGTGTATCCAAGTTTTGTGCTGGCATGCTGCACTGGAGTGCATTTTACTCATAGTCCCCGAGTCTTTCAGGCTCTCCTGGGCTCAAGCTGTAAAAACCATCAGATGTTTCCACAAATTGTTCTGCTCTGCTCCCAACAGACAAGTGCTTAGTAAGCTAAATGCATGTGCACTTTATACTATGTTAACAGAAAAAAGAAAACCAAATCACTACCTGTTTTAACTTCTGAGACTTTCTCTTAGCAAATGATCAGAGAAATACGCTAACAGTGCAGTCTAGTAACTCTCACTTACCAGTAGTTTCAGTGACACACATATATAAGACCCGCAAAGTTAAGCCCAAGAATTGTCACCTGCCGTCCCAGTTGCCATCATAATAACCATATTAATACTGTGCCCAATTAATCTGCCTACTTGCTTGCTTAATTTTTAAGTAGCTATGACGTGATTCCCATCTTGAACAACCTGAATGCTCCTGCAGATGAGCAGGAACTGTGGTAAAGCTGCTACCTTAGTCTGACACAGCATTTTGTTGCTATTAGCTAACATTTCACAAGGTGATTTCATTGGGTGGACCTACATGAATCATTCATTATGCCAGCCCACTGGAAAAACCAATTCCAAAATACAAAGTACAGCAGAGAAGAAACGTATCTTAGCAAAGAAGAAAAAACAAACAAACAAAACAACCTGATAGGTTTACTCTGCAGGCCTGGAGAGTGATGTCGAAGGTCAGCCTGTACTGCTGTTTTTGACACTGCCACTTCAGGTGCTGGGAAACACAATGTCTTCAGTTTGTTACTTCTGGTTTGTGGGGTCTTGCATTTCCACAAGTTGTCTTGATGGAAGCTGGTCTCTGAAAAGTGATCAAACTACTGGAACAAGAACGTAACAAAACTCAAAACTCACACCTGAATTCAAAGGTCTGAAAGTTCGACCTCTATAAAGCAAGTGGTATAAAAGCCCTACTGCAGCAGCTCACGCATTAACAGACTGGAATAACAAATGGGACTGAGCTTTATTGCTGTTTCCTGTTCTTAGTTTGGAGGTGGTTTTGCAGGATTCAAAGTGGACCCGATGCATTCATTCAAAACACTTAATTGTTCTAACAGGTTGGCTGTTCCCTGAGGGTCTGTGGCCCAGCCAAAGGCTCATTATTAGATCCAGCCAGGATTGGTTATGTGCCATCTTCAGAAGGATGAAAAAAGCTGCTGCTTTGCTCAAAAGGAATGAGAAAGGTACAGAGCAGAGCAACCAGCAGCACGAGTGAGTAAAGGAGAAAGCTTTTTGTTTGAACCAATGAAAGAATGAAAGACCATAGAGAGAGCTAAGTATGGTGTTTAACTTTTCCTAGTGCAACAGCTGGAAACTGTTACCGATTACTCTTTTTCAAGTGGAAACTCTGAAATAGTATTTTTTTTATTCTTCTAATTCCTACGTGAATGTTCAAATTTCAGGTATTGCCCATGTACTTTTATATTTAAAGAAAATGAAATCTGCATGTCTCTTCTGTAGCTGCTTTGACTGTCCAGACATCAAGCACTTCAAGTTGAGTTTTCTTGCAGGGTTTTTTGGGGTGTTTTTTTGTTTTTTAAGTGTCTGTGCTGCACTGCCTCTGGCCTTCTGTTCTGAACCCAGGGTGGTGTGAAAAAAATGAGGAAATGTCCAAATCCTTTTATCTTGTTCTTTCTGTAGGCTAAAGTCATCAAGCCTTTTTCTTGGTTGTCAAACCCAAGTTCATACAAGCAAATTCCTAAAATCCTGCTTAGAATAAAGCTATAGCAAGGAATCAGCATTCTAGAAATGGCACTGGAGCTGCCAGTGCTTAAGGTTGCTGTATAATCGCTATATAGCTTTTTAGTTTTGAGATGGAAAAAGCTGCATTTTCTTTCAAAGTGAAATGCAACATACTGTGTTTGCAGATTTTAGCTAAAAATCTAGTTCTGTGATTGATGAGCAGAATGAAATAGACCTAAGAGTTTTCTGAGCAGAAATTAGTTCATAGGTTAGTATGAAGTTCCTCACATTATATTCTGTTCTGGGTTTTTGATTCCTTCTTTGGTTTTTTGGTTTTTTTTGGTTGGGGTTTTGTGTGTGTGTGTTTGTGTTTTGTTTTTTGG